TTGTGGAGTATTCACCGCTTTGAAGTTCGTCGTCGCCGAAATTGTTGTGGAAGGTCTACAAAATGTAAATGATAAAAAAAATGTGATTTCGAAAAATGTGAAATAAATAAACCAATACAAACGTACATTTCTACTCAAGTTAAGGATATATATGAAGCAAGCATGAAGAACAAATAATCACAACATAGGAAGATTAGTGGGGAAAATAATTTTTCGAAGATTTCACAAATCTGATCTAGTTGATGAGCTGAAGCAGCTAAGAATGGTTTTTTCTGCTTATCCTCCTGGCTATGAGGAATAATTGGCTTCAAAGACATAGGACTCGAACTTGCGATATTTAAACCTATGAAGCACCTCACTTACCATTTAACCACCGCAAGTCATATTCCGGAATTCCGGCGCAATTCGTAGGCGAAACACGCAGGTTCAAGTCTTACGCGTGTCTTACGTTTTGCTGTATGCTAAAAATGGTTATAAATTCCAGTTGAACTCTGTCTCAGTAGAAAACGAATCTGAGCTTAGCGCTCCCAACTGAAGCGAACCATATGTCTTGTTAAAGCGGTGGTATCGAATTAGTACCCTTGCCTAGTTTGATGAAAATGTGGAATGGATGGCGCAGTGGCAGGCCTGCTAGATTTTTGAACGTGGAGTCGCTAAGATTTGTAGAGCTATTTGTTTCCCAGCCAAATAAGATCTGCATTTTACAACGCTTCCTATCTTTGGGGTGGTGGTGGGAGGAATAGCATAGAGGCTAAGAGACTTGCACACAGTCTGCATGACCAAGGATCGATTCCAGTTCGAGGCACTCTCAACACCTTTCGCAAGTGACCCAGAAGCTTCTCAGTAACCTTGCTCAAGAAGGTGAATTCGTTCTTACGTCAACCGAACTAGGCCATTCACATTACACCCGTTCTTTTTTTATACCATGCAGACCGCCCGCAATCACCGACTTTGACTAGATTTAAAAAAAATCATTGATAAATCAATCAACAGTGTAAATAATCTAACCGTCTAAAACGTGGAAGTGCAAAAGTGTTCTTTTCTGCGCCATGGTGTTGTCGCAGATGTTTGAAGTGCATGACCAGCAGATAGAAATAGTCAACTGAACAGGGATCAAGATTTTTCTAAGTATTGTTACTCATAGGCTATGACATTTTCTAACTATCGTACTTCTTCTAAACTCCTGGTAAAATTATGGTGGGATGTCTGCTTCGGTGGTTTCTTCTTCAAGTTACACTTTTGTTTTGTGGATCCTCAATTGATTCTAGCGGAAGAAATTCAACCGCCGCCCACACGACTCTTGCAAAATTCGTCCTTTCATAAACTAGAATTTTCGTTGACGCCAAAGCTATCAAATCAAAATTCGAAATAATGAAAGCCAACCCGAAGATACTCTTGAGACATTCAAGAATTCAATTGTGTTAACCTTTCGAGCTGCTTCTATGGCCGATGACGGATTATTTTCGGCATGCAGGGACTAGCAATTTTTCGCTACGAGAGCAATCTAGATCAGATTCATGCAGATTTTTCGAAAATAATGTGCATGGACACGATTGTCAGTTACGGATCTCAACCACTGACATTTCAATTCTTCTAAATTGTGAATATTCACTTATCCATGTCCTAAACTTTGTAATGAAAATAGGGGTATATGTTGCTACTTGCTACTCGTTTCACATGTTTCAAAATCAAATTTTTTTATTATGTACACTTGCAAAACTATACACATAAATTACGTCGAAAAGTTGCTTGCTAGAGGGGCACTGAGTAACTGATAAAAAGACGCATATTGCATCCACAGGAGTAGTCTGAAACAGCTTAAACATAAGCTTTTTTCTCTTTGAGTTCTCTCCTTGTTTGTCCAGCAAATGCGATATTCGAATGACTCAGAGTTCTATGACTATCATCCTTTTAAATTTCCACTTTTAATGTGCTACTAACAAGGTAAAATAGATTTTTTTCAGGAAATACAAATGATTCAGTATTACTGAGTACTACTGAAGCTATGCATTATGCAGGGCGAACGTCTTGTATTCCGAAGAATTTTCTATTCCTTCTTCACTGAGTTCCGCGAAGTTCATCCCCTATGCTTGGAAATAGAATATTTTATGTTAACTACAGCACATTTGAAAAACGTGAACGACACCGGTGGTGTAAAAAAACCGAAGTCAGTAAGTAAGTCTGGAATATTCCTTCTTGTAATTCTGCGTAGACTTCCATTTCTTTGTTTGCCTTTAAAATTTACTGCAGTAATATCTCTCCCCAAAAACATGTATAGGCAAATCAACACAAACAGAGACAACATCACATCTGATGAGGAAATTTCGTGTTTCGAAGAGACGTCAGACGGTCAAACAGTGTCCGCAATGGCGTCTTGTCTCTGCGTACGACTCGTCTCTGTACTGTAGCTGGGAAGCTACGAGCTTTCAACAATTGTTCAAGGAGTGGAATA